AGAGAATTGTTTTAATAGGCGTAGCATAAAGTCGACATTTAATTGAGCGACATGAAGGAGTAAATAGTTGTCTCGGTGTGGGGAAACATGACGAGTGTCTATCTTCATTCTTCATGTTTCCCCAATCCACGCTATAACCAGAGCAACCAGAGATTTGTCTCATTAATTCAAGAAGACCATTACTCATTCTTCCTTTTCCATCCTTTTACACTGCTTCTGCCATTAAAACATTACCATCTCCACTTGCACCTAAACGGTTTGGTTCCATTAACCCAACCTTTCAGGATCATTTGATTTTTTTCTTCTACCAAATCTTTAAGCCATATTATTTTAAATCTGATAAGTTAAGTAATACTTTAAAAAATTATCAGGAACAGTGCTATCAAGACAACACTTTTGATACTTCTCTCTAATTCGAGCAGTTTTTCTTCATAAGTCTTCCACTGAATGCTGGCTGTACATTTTCAACCTTTTTATTTGAGTTTATTAATAATTCTGTGAACTTATAAGATTTATTCCTGGCGCATGTATAAGGAGACCATTAATCACCGTATCGTAAAGTCAACAACGATTGAATTAACTGATATCAGAGTTTAGAAGGATGTGTTCTTAAAGCTTTAAGAAAACAAAGAACGTAAAATATTGCGTAGTATTTTTAGTTACACAATTTGGCATTCAAAATGCTAATCTGCATATGTTATTACGTGAACGTACCGGAACAGGAGAAACACTGAACAGGACATTCAAACGATCCTTCGTAGCGTTATTGGCATTTATAGACATTTATATATTTTTATAGAATTCTTACAATTGCATTGTGGAGGAATATTTCTGTTTGTCCATTTGTAAGCATCCTGTTGTTGTAAGACAACTGAATAATTCACAAGACATGAGTGGTTAGCTGGTTCGCCTACCGATCGTCTAATCGTAATTCATATCCGTACTCCACGAACATCACTTTTTGACGACAGTGATTTTTCAAGCAATCGGAATTTCCTTTTTAAATTCAGAAAATTAATTTAAAAAGGTTTACTTAATTTACTGAAATAACAATAAACTGGAAGATGTTCTTAATTATCATCCTATTAAGTTCAAAGTATCCAGCTAATGTGATTTATTTTTCGACTTATTTTGTTTGGTTTTCTCTTTAATACGCATAATAAGAATGTAAAAATAGTAGTTTATTAAAATCAAAATTTTGTCCTTTAAAGCAATTCAATATTGAAGTGTTTAGGGTCATTAACTAGTTCGTCGGTCGGGGAAGTGCATATCTTTAAACGAAATCAGGTGTCCATATAATTTGGAATTTCAAATTTCATTGTTAATATTGAAAATTTGTGGAAATCTGAGAAGCAGTATAATTTCTGCTCCGGCAAATCCAAATAAACGAAAAAGAAAGCCGGATTTGCCAACTTCAGAGTAATAATAACTTCCAATGGCTATCTCTGAAAACAATATATAATGATTCGGAAAAATTGCACTGAATATGAAGTTTTTTTTTTTGTCCATTATTAAAAGGAACTTATCATTTTCATGCCAAATAAGAACATATTAATAACATGCTTCAGTCAAGAAGATTCCGAATAATAAAAAGCACCTTTTCTCGCAAAAGTTTCATAAATGGAACAGGTTTAATTTAGAAACTTGAGCAGGAATTTTCATATATCTTTGAAGAACTTGATTTGTGTGATTTTTAGGAATTCTCTCCAATAGATAATAAAAGCGCATTTGAGACTGAGATGTTTCTCTTTGAAATTAAAAAAAATAAGAAAAGATGCCTGGACCACGAATGATTGGGATGGATTGGCTTGGCAAAAGTTTGCATTGGTTTTTCTTTTAAATGACTGTTTCTATAACACTTTATTAGAAATACTTATGACTATACATGCTATAATGGCTAGTCATCATTCTAATATATCTCAAATTATTATGCAACCACATTCAAACAGGATTAATTAAAGGCCTTAAAGGCTAACAAACTAATCTACAGACCACTCTTTTTTTGCTACACTTTTAGGCCTTTCCAAGAACATTTGGTCATCTTTTTACATTTTCGTCCTCGTACTGACCCGAATCAATGAATGATCTAGTGTTCTGCGCGATCAATTACTTCTGGGATTAATAACGATGCGAACTTAACTACTTGTCCTTTCATGCAGTAATAAACATAATTTTGGAAAATTGGAGCCTAGAAAATAAGTCCAAACAGACAAAATATTGCACCTGTTTTCTCTTATCATAATCATCCATTTCCTTTTATTCGATTATGGTTGAAAGTAAACAATTACAGAAAATGAGATGACACAAATTACTTCTTTATTTGTTGTCCAATTAGATTTTTTAATTTATTTGGGATAGAAAGTAAGGTAGATAAGGTAACACTGGATCATTTAGAATTGATATCGGTAATCAATAAACAGCCTTGTTAAATAAACAATCAAAAATAAATTTATAGTTCGCACTACCAATATTTCAGTCAGCTGGTGCAATGAACACTTGATTTATTACTGCCACAAGTTAGCTGTGTGATAATTTGATCCATTTATGGACTATGGTTGAGGCATTGCAAAAATAATATTTTCGTATGTTTTATTAAGACCGATATCTGATCATTCATTATAAGTAAAATGATAGTTTGTGTAATCAAGGTGCAAATAAGATAATACCTGCAATATATATTAAAAATAGAGTTAGAGGTAAGTTAATCAAATTTCTGTCATGGACTTCTGAAAACCATACTGAAATTTACAAATATTTTAATAAATACAAATATTGTTGTTTTCAACTGATATCACTAAAGCAGTCATGATTTGTTAATTTTGCAATACTTCTGAGACTTAAACGATGCACAAAAAATGTGTAATTCGCTATTTAAAAATTACCAGTTTTTTATTATGAATAACAATGTTCGTTATTTATTGTTATTGAGTCTATTATTTCACTTAAAAAAGGTTTAACGAAAACTTAAAAAAATTTTTAAGTAAATTCAACATATCAGTTTACCTGATCGAATATTAAAGGTGAGCAACATTGCTCATAGATGTGGCTTTCTCGATATAAATATAGGTTATTTACTGGTAAAATTTCGAATCTTATAGAAGGGGAGAAAAAAGAATTCCGAATTAGCAAAACTATCAAAATTCGAAAATGTTACTGTTAAGATAAATACTTGGATGGTAAAGTTATACATACAATCATCAGATGTACAAATGCAGTGCGGTAACTAACAGTTTTCACTAATGGATCTGGCTGACAGTTCATGAAACCATTAGTGATATTAAAATGGCCATATAGCACATAGGCTTGAATTACTGAAAATCATTAAGATAATGTTAGATTAATATGATTATAAAGTAATTGTGATGCCATTTCGAACTATATCACTCTTGAATTTTTATACAATGAGACTTTTATACGGATTTCATTTCTCTATGCTACTGGATGCAATACTAAAAGCTGTGCGTTCAAAAACATTCATGATATCTTGAGATATATTCATTCCATAGTACACAGCTTACTGATATCATTACTGAAAATTTCAATAAAATGTTGACTATCTACATATGATAGTTATCTTTATCTTTCAAAGTAGTAAAGACATTGAAAATGCTAGTTCATAATTGGATCCTTTTTCTGTAGCTTGCAATGTTTCTGTTGAATGCACTTCTTAGCTAAACCTAACTTAGCATTACTTCCCTCTCAAGTTATAAAAAGGTGGACTTCTCAAGAAGCAATAAGGAAATGGAAGGAAATCTCTCCAATACTTCTTTCACACCAATTTTTCAAGCATAGTTTAAAACTATTTATTTTTACTGGTTAGTAGTTTGCCCGGTATTTATTATTGGCTATTCAGTATGTTAGTAAGTCACAAGAAAAAACCGAATTTTTATTCTCAAATTTAAAATGTCTGAATTTCCTAATGTGAAGTGGAATATTGAAATATAGTACAAATGGTAATGACAAGGCAGAAAGATAGATAATATTATTTATTCTGGGCCATATGTCCAACATGCGGTCTAATATAGAAGTAGCATAATGGATAGCTTATTCCTTTAGTGAGACATTACTTCATTCTGATAAATAATGATATGTATAAAATTATAGCAACCTTTATGCAGCATATGCATGATACTTATTCAAAAATCAAAACATCGTAGATTTCGCTCTACAATAGACAATTCAATTAATTTTGAGTATTTCTTTTTATTATATTTTTATTGAAGTATAATTTCTCGAACTGACAAGAAAAGTAAATTTTCCTGAAATATCTAATCCACCGAAAGTAAGCTCTCTATTAGAAAAGAAAGCAATGAATATCAAAATTTAACTGTCGATTTAGGCGGTGACAATACCTACAAGCAAATTTGCTTGTTTTTTTATTTTTTAGGTAGGTTAAAAAATATAAACTGTGATATGCAGAAAGAAGTCGTACAGAAAAACAATAAAACTGACTGGAGACTGGTAAAAGATACATTTCTTAGAAGATATTTGCTATGTTAAATCAGCAGCTGTACTATTACCAGAAATTGTGCTACACTGACTGATATTGTTTGACTTGAAATTATGAATATCTCGCGGAAATCGACATTAATTTTAAGAGCAGAATACCATATGCTGATAATGTCCGAAATTCGTTCGCTTTTGCATCACTTGAAATGCAGTAATATTATTAACCAAATGATTATTTCTTTTCGTTAGTAATATTCACGTTTATACTTTAGGACTTCTTGATCAATAAACCTAGTATCACTTTTGGACCAGTAGGGTAAGAAACAATAACATAGGACACATTATTTATAATAGCCATAATTTGGTTTTTTCCTTCGCTCTGTGTGCATTTTATTTCTAATTCAAATTCAGTTAAGTATTCCTCATACGTGAAACATAAAATTTTACGAGATTTTGGGAAAAACTAAAAATAAGAATCATTAAACTTAAGTAATTGAACATAAAAAGACCATTATCCTAATGAGAAAAAACTGAAACAAAACATAAACACTTACCTTCTTCAATATTTCCTCAACATGAGTCGTATAATCAGCGACATCCGTGCACTTCGTCTTATCAAAACTGAGAAGTAAAATACAGATTGTATTGTTGAAATTCAGCCAGGAAAAGTTTTTATGGTACTATATACATAGTGACTCCACCAAAATTTCTTCACTATCGAATAATCATTTCCTACTGGATGCTTTTAAATTCGAGATCATGTTGATTTAAAAAAAAGTTGTATTTAACGAGTCAACGTCTCATCACCATCCTTGAAGGCTGTATAAATAATATTCAGAGGAATATCTGCTGTGCTACTTTCGGAATAGGTATGATTTTTTTCTCGTGACTACGTTCTAATAACCAGCTAACTAGACCAGTCAATTCATCCATAAGAATTCATCTGATTTTTCTAACAAATTTTTTTTTCTATGTTCTTTTTAAACATCAGGAATTTGTTATCCTCGAAACTGCGGAATGAACTCAGTCTTTTTTGAATATTGCATTTCATATGACTGCTAGATCCTGTCGGAAAACTGAAAATTTTTTATTACACGCTAAGTGTTTAGAATAATACCAATGATTCATTACTATAAATCAATTCGTTATTCCTTTGCTATACTCCATTTTTTTTTTTTTTTTTTTCAAACAATGAATTCTTTATCTAAACCTCAAATAGTAAATGTAGATCTGTCTTCATTGTAAATGTTAATCTGCTAAGTCATCCCAGCCCACTTTCTACATCCTTAAAAATCTTCTCTAATCAGTTAATAAAAAAAGAAAGGATAACAGTACCATTTATTCCTTCGCTGTTTCAATTATTCGACTGTATATTGTATCGATTCACATTTATAAAGAAAATAAATCATATCTGATAGGAAGCAAAAGGTTCACTTCAAGTTCTACAAACTTAAAGTAAGTCAAGTGAACTTAACTAATTTAAATCAACTACTCTTCTGACCAAAAACTTAATTCAAATTCACAGATCCCATATACAACAGTTGCAAAACAATATACAAAGAAATGTTGATACAAAATACAATTCCTCCATTTACAATTTAGTGAGATTGAAAATATAATGTCGTAATAAGACACGACTTCACGAAACTATCTTATTTTAATAATTCTTTTGATACTCAATAGATATCAAACTCTTCTTAAACAACTCATCCCAACCATTATCCATAGTGTTTAGTGACTGGTTTTGTAAGTCACCGTGATCAGCAGTTGCAAAGTACTGCAGTTAAACAATAGTTAAGATTTATAAAAAGAAGAAAAGAAACGACATCGCTAAGTAGTAGTGTGATTCTTCTCCTCCTTATTAATCATCCGTTAATTTATTGTATTCCTCTTCCCGGGTTTTTTAACGCATTCTTATCATTATTTCCCTCGATCTGATCTTAACTACTATTATACTTTCAGCATGCCAAATATCAGTACACTGTGAGCCATGTCTTTTTTAAAATAACTTTTTAGGTTAATGAACTTCCTCTAAGAAACGTAGTGAACAACAGGGCGAAGTTTAGAAATGTATGAGAAAACCAACCTTACTACGAAGTCATGGTTCGAACTATCGTGAAGACAATCAGTGCTTAATGCTGGAATGTTCAAATGAACTGAAAAAACATAATTTCATAGATGCCACTATTTCTAGTCATATTTATAACGGAAAATTTGAGACGATTTGCAGTTTTATTAAAGTGATGTTTCTATGCTGAAAAAAAGAAAACAAGACTTTTCATTGGAAAACTTTTGGAGAGAAAAAAAACGATGTTTTTTCTTTAGCAGGACAAAGAAGCAGGTTGAAACTTGCCACAAAGTTCTCACTGGAATTGTGTTCCACGAAGTTCGCCTTTCTTGAGAAATGGTTTTGTCTTTTCACCACTACAAACTTCCGATATTAATCAGTTTCTCGAGATTTTGACTCGCAAGTTTTTCAAAACTTCATCCAGGAATGATCGGTGGCGCTAGAAATTTTGCTAGGCGTGTCGTATGGAGGCAACTTTAAAAAAAAAAAAAAAATTATCATTATACACAGGCCATAATAAGCAATCTTATCTGTTATCATCTCGTCAAAAAGAAATAATGAAGCCATTTTTGTCCAGTCTTATTAAGAATACTCAATGAATCTTGATTATTCATAGCTGACTGTAGCACAGGTACTTCCTTTCATAACGATTTCGTGCAGAAAACACTAGTAATACTTTACATCAAAACACATTGAAAGAAGCAACCATACTGCAAGATCTTCACAACTACCTTTACAAGGAAACTTAACAGAAGAAGATAAGGAAGACGATTTATAAAGGAAGAGATTTATAAAAGCATCGACAAAAGTGCTACAACTTCAACGAGCAATCTCGAAATTTTGATGGTACTGTACCGACTGGTTTGGAGATAAATTGCTAAAACATTGACTTTGTATTTTAACTGTTATCCCGACAGTCGGGTTCAGAAGTGGTGGTAGAAGACTATTAGCTATTATTGCTACAGGTTTAAATGACCGTAGTACAAGAAGTCTGCGCCATCTTTACAAAGACTGGATTTGCAAGAGATTGCCTTTCAGTATTGTTCAGGAGTTTTTTTCCTCCCAGTCTTTGATTCGCATATTTCTGTCAGAGTGCTCACACAAATCACTTCCTTCATTGTGTGACGATAGCTAACATTAGTTAAGCATAGATATGGTTCTCCATTACCGGAACACATTTCAAAATTCTTTGTACGATTGCATTCTTCGAATTTCTTTCATCGAAATTGCTTTTCTTCATTTTTACTCTGTCACACACTATATTTTTTTATTTTCCAAATTAACTGGCTGTCTTTCATTATTGAATAGTTCGCATTTTTTCTGCCCTATGTAGTCATTGTTCTAGATCTGTGCATATTCAGTGATGATTGGTGGTTTATTCGTTTATAATCATAAGGGTGAAGTGCTTATCTCGCGTATTTATCGAGATGACGTCAGGTAAGACATATGTAAGACTTATTTAAAAATTTTTTCCATGAAAATGCAATAGAGGAGAAATGTAATAAGAGAGTCTGATAGTGAGAAAGTCTGACCTTCGATTTCTGATTAACTTCTATCACTTTTATTTTTTATGTTTAAGAGTTGAAATTGCATTGACTGAACATTTCTAAATGCTTAAGTATCTTGTATTATTGTTTCAGTCGAAATGCAGTGGACGCTTTTCGAGTTAATGTTATTCACGCGCGGCAGCAAGTACTCTCTTTATTTTTATTTGCAAATCTTTCACGAATTGTAGAATTTACACTTATGTTTTGCTGTGTGCTGCTGTTATTTCATTTACCAAATGTATGGTTTGTTAAGGTACGGAGTCCGGTAACAAATATGGCCAGAACATCATTTTTCCACATAAAGCGAGGTAATGTTTGGATTTGTGCAGTGACACGACAAAATATCAATGCTGCAATGGTATTTGAATTTCTAAACAGGTTAGTTTTTCATTCGTATTTGAAACACATAAAAAAAAAAAAACTTAATTTTTTGAAGGTTTGCGGACACCATGCAGTCATACTTTGGAAAACTGAATGAAGAAAATGTTAAGAATAACTTCGTTCTCATTTACGAGCTTCTGGATGGTATGCTTTTTCTGTGCTGCACTCACAGAAACTTTGCTAATTCTTTCCTTTACACTAGTTCACGACTAGAACTTTTTGCATTCACTGCTGCATGACTATGAAAAGTTTGTGTTATCTTCCATTTTGTAACCTAATAATTTATCTAATTGTACGACTTTTAATGTTTAGAGACATTTCGAAAAGTAGTATGACCTTTGTTAATAGATTCATTTCAATCGCTGTAGTAAATAATTTTACCTTTCATGGAATTCTCAAGTCCATGCAGCGTTCTTTTTGCAGAGATCCTTGATTTTGGTTATCCACAAAATACAGATCCTGGAGTTTTAAAGACGTTCATTACACAACAAGGCGTTAGAACAGCAGTGTGTTCCTTTTTTTTTTTTCTCGTTTTCTCGTTTCTCTGTTTATTTTGGTTATACTGGAAAGTTGTACATTTGTAAAAAATCTTGAATATATTATTTCATTATGTCTTGGTTCTGGAACTATATTATGATTGTAATTTCCATACATAGGCACCGGTGGTAAGTTTCTTATGAATCTACATTATAGAAGACAGCTAGTTGTTTGCTGTGCATTGTTTCAATTTTTCATGTTTATAAGTTGCTTTCATTGTTGTTTCGTGTAGTTCCTCATAGTTGTATAAATGGAAATTGCTTTCTTTCAAATGGCTACAAGTTTACTAATTTCAGAGTAAAGAAGAACAAGCACAGATTACGTCGCAGGTAACGGGGCAAATAGGGTGGCGTCGTGAAGGCATAAAGTATCGTCGAAATGAATTGTTTTTGGATGTTATCGAATATGTCAATCTCCTTATGTCTCAGCAAGGTATTTAAATTAGTACTACAAACTATGGAAGGCTATTTTACCTAATATTCTGATATATCTCCTTGCGAATCTGTAAATTGATTTAGGGCAAGTTTTGTCAGCGCATGTTGCTGGAAAAGTGGCAATGAAGTCATACTTATCTGGAATGCCGGAATGCAAGTTTGGAATTAATGACAAGCTTACCATTGAGGGTAAAGGACGTGCTGGTGCTGATGATCCTACCAAATCGTTTGTTTTTCCAACTAAGAGCAGTGTAATGGTGGTTATAATTTGAAAGTATTGTTGTGAAGTAGATTCTGTGTTGCAGGGCACGTATTTCTGTAGCAATTGATGATTGCCAATTCCATCAGTGTGTTAAATTAACCAAATTTGATACCGAACATGCTATAAGTTTTATTCCACCTGATGGAGAGTATGAACTTATGAGGTATGATTTCTTACCTTTTCGTAGATCAGTGTTCTTATATGTGACTAAGTATTCTTTAATGTAATGTATTTTCTTTTGCAGATACCGCACAACCAAGGACATACAGCTTCCATTTCGAGTCATTCCGCTTGTTCGAGAAACTTCCAGAAACAAAATGGAGGTATAAAAATTTAAGCTATTTCTTTTGCGTTTTAAGATTGCAAATGTCGTCTTTTGGATTTTTGTCAGAGTTGTCGGATTATACAAGTGCACTATAGTATTAAGCTCATGACATGGCTACGCATAATCTTTACGGGAGACAGTTTTAGTAGCGGCAGATCGTTTTGTTCCTTCAAATCCATCTTTAGTTGATTATTGAAACCTTGTAGTTTCTTTTTGCTAATGCATCAATACGGGGTATTTTGTTGGCTTACTTGAAAATCGTGAAAATACGTTTGCTCTGGTTCGATATTACTCAGTGTACCAATACACATTAAGTTTGTTGCATTATGAACTATATTCGGCATTTTATAGGTAAAAGTAGTTGTGAAATCAAACTTTAAACCATCACTTCTGGCACAGAAAATCGAAGTTCGCATACCTACTCCTCCGAATACTAGTGGAGTACAGTTAATTTGTATGAAAGGTAAAGCTAAGTACAAAGCTGGCGAGAATGCAATCGTTTGGAAGTTAGTTTTTTACTGTTCTAGATGTTTCAACTGTTACAAATTAAATCTTGTTATTAAATGATCAAATGGAAAAATTCAATATACGTCGTCTTTTTTGATTCTCAATTGTTTAACCCTAGTTTGGTTTTACTGTTGCGTTATTTCATTTCACATAAATCTACTTATTTGTTTTAAATTAAAAGTAAGCTGTAAAGTTGCGAAATCGAGCGGATTTTTCCGTAACAAGCAATTTCATTGTTTGCCTCTGCACCATTTTATTAGCCTCCATCAGCATGGTGGAACAAACCAGTCTTATTCGATTAAGATCAATTTATTAAGATCAGCATATCGCACTAAAAGCTTAAGGGGGATTAGTGGTTTGTTAGGACTGATGTTGTTATTATGTGTCAGTTAGTTCTTGGACAAAATACAAATTGGTAATCTCATTCTTTTTTAGTGTTCAAAGTGTTGGACGTAGTTTTAGAATACTGTATTTGCACTACATGTATCAAAAAGAAAAACCGGTTTCACTTTTCAGAATCAAGCGTATGGGTGGGTTAAAAGAATCTCAAATTTCTGCTGAAATTGATATTTTGAGTACAGGTAACTCTGAAAAGAAAAAGTGGAACCGTCCTCCTGTGTCAATGAACTTCGAGGTAATTTCTTGGAATTGAACGAAGATTAAAAATAAATTTGTATTTCTTTGTCGTTAGCAGAAGGCATTATCAATGGAGTATTTTCCAGGTACCATTTGCTCCATCAGGTTTGAAAGTGAGATATCTGAAAGTTTTTGAACCAAAATTGAATTATTCGGATCACGATGTCATCAAGTGGGTGCGTTATATAGGCAGATCAGGACTTTATGAAACAAGATGTTAAATTCCTTAGTACTATGATAACAACTTGCGATGATCATGGTCGAGAAAGTACGTTGTCGAAGTGAAGAAACCTTTCGCTTCTGTTGTCTTTGCACATTTTGTAATTTGGTTTTTTCATTTTATTGCGTTCATCTCAATACTTATTTCTTTGCAACTGATTTTTTTGTGTATGTTTACAAGACATTGTCATGGGTAGTTTTGTAATTCAAATTTCATTTCTTCAATATTCATTTTTTATAACATTGTAAGTTCGCTGAATGTTTTCTTACTACAGATTACAGAAAAACTTATTACACCGTTTGATTAGTACTGTTTATCAGAGAAAGTTTTACGCAATGTTAAATTTGCATGCATATTAACGGTAATCTTATTCTTTGTAGTTTAATTCTGCAACTTTTGGCTTTGTTGTCTTTGTATTTTATATTGATAGTATTCATCTGGTTTTTTTTTTTCCGCTTAATAACTGCTAATTTTTTTTTTCTTTCGAAATTTCGGAAAACTGGTCCAG